GCAGGAATTATTTCACGATTTTAGTGCAAGCTTTGGTTAGACTTTTAGAGATTACAAATAGAAGTGCCATGATTCGCCTCAGTGTAAATCACTGAGATGGGGAATGAGGCAACCTCGTGGGCTGGGACTTGATGGCTTGGAGATAATAAAGACCTCTAAGTGCTGGTGATGCCTGGTACTATGAACATCAGCTTGATCCCATCAGCTTGGCCCCACTGTAGGTATCCGCATGTTTCACCATCATCAACGTGGGGCAAACATCCTTCATGACATATCAGGCCTAGGGTTACCTTGATGTGGTCCACTTGGTTACTCTTTGACTATTACTGAGTGGTTGGCTATTATTTTTAACTGGCAATCTCAGCGTTTGTACTCCCAGCTTTTGTAACGTGCTTTTTATCAAGTTTAAGCAATATGCTTAATGTCACGGTCAAGCCCCTGAAGGAATGTCCTTTGTGTTTGGAGGGAGCAGCTCTCTGTTCAGATCAAGAGTAGGATACGGTACGAGCCAAAATAACTGCAGTTTCGAGGAGTAAAGCAAACAAACATGAATGAAACCCTACCCAAATCTGAAAACATTGTGTTTAACTGAGTCTCTGTATGAAGCAGTCAATTAGCTCACTCTCGGTTTGTATCCACATCTCTGCATTCATTATGTTGATGCAAAATGTAGTTGATCAGTGGCTCTGAAGCACCCTGTGATCCTGAGTAATATCCAAGTGCTCCGTTCTAGCCAAGTCCTTGATATATTTAATCATACATATTTAATGTGGTTGGGGACTACAACCTTGTAATATTCCGCATATTTGTGTGTGTGGCTTTTGCAGGCAGCATCCCTGACGGTGGATTCCTGCTCTGAGGATCAGGAGCCAGGCTACTGCACTGTTAGCAATGTTGCTGTTTCTACTGACTGGTAAATAATTCTTCATTTTTTGGGTTGGTTTTTTTTTTTTTGGAGTAAAATGAAAAAGAAATCACCCTGTAAAGCCAGAGAAATTTGGAGTAACGATGACATGCCTTTAGCCCAGTCTCAAGCAAGGGATAGATACCTCAGCTGCACTCTTTCAGAGGCATACGAAGGCAAGACTCCAAAATGTCATCTCCTCCCATCTTTACAGAAGCAAATTAAATCTTCTACATGTCCTGCTGCTTGCTAACTCAGGCTGCGTTCCTGCATGGGGTTTATTCATGACAAGGAGTTCATTCAGAAGTCCCCAATTCTTGACTCCGTCTCTGTCCCCAGGTTCTGGTGGCACATGAGGAATGTATGGCCACGGGTTGTCTGCACCGTGATGTAAACGGGGATAAGACTTGGTGCCTAATGCTATGAGATTTCACATCATGGCCTAGAAAGAGTTAACAAGTCAGAATATCAGATGCTCATCATTACTGACAACTTGTAACTCTTAGACAGTAAGCCACAAATGTATTTGTTATAATCAACTGGCTCTTAAATACACAGCACTACTCTTTGGCAGTTTGAAGTTCTACAATATTTAGTGCTACAAATCTTTAGCAAAGCCTCCTCCACTTTTACATTTTGAATCACATCTATCTTGCCAAAACCAGGCTCAGACTCGAAGTGCTACTACTCTAGTAGCACCTATATTTCACTCCAGTGTTCAGTTTTGGGCTTTGATTTGGGGTCTTAGGTTGGTTTATTTATTTATTTAAACCGCATCTCTCATTTCTTATAAAAGTGTAAAAAAATAACATCACCGGATTGCTGCTTTCTTAAAAAAAAAAAAAATAAAAATTGTAAGAGTAATTACTTTGACATTGCTTTCAGAAAGTTCCAGATGACATCTTTTACAGTTGTCATTTCTTAAACGTTGGCTGGTACAGAGAACAAACCTTATTTCTTGTGTTTACCATAACTGAGAAGCCTTTCTGTTGCATCTTTAGATCCTCTTTGGAGATAACAATAACTTTGATCGCAATCACTTTGGCTAATTTCTGACGATAATCACAATTATAATTCCTGTCACACGTGGTTTCCCCACTAGCAAAGGTGTTATAGCTTTGTAAAATAATGAATCCATCTTCCAGCTATTTAAATACCATCTACAATCTAAACGATAATTGAGTAAAAAACCTTATTCATTATGATTTCAAGCACGCTGCTCCGTCAAGCGAATAGAAATTTTGACATGCAGTAACTGAATGTGAATTTAGAGTCATACCCATTATAACTGTTAGTTCAAGCGCTACTGATCTATCTGTCTCCCTTTCTAAATGTAAAATGTGAATTTTGGAAGAGGAATTTTAGCCACAGACGGTAGCCGATGGTTCCAGTTCCTGTGTTGTTATTGCTATCTTAATGTCTGATGCTGATAAATTGTTTTTTCTGACTCTTTTATAGGACTCTTGATGTACAACCAAATCGAGTTACTGTTGGTGGCATCAGGTCTGTAGAGCCCATCCTTCAGAGGAGAGGACAGGTGGAAAGCCATGATTTTGTGGGCTGTATAATGGAGTTTGCAGTCAACGGACGTCCCCTGGAGCCCAGCCAGGCTTTGGCAGCTCAAGGAATCTTAGATCAGTACGTCTGCTATATATGGTATCGAATGGACCCTGTTTACAATAAAGGAAGCCGTCATGAAAGTCAGACGCTATTCCGTTCAGAGACCTTCAGATATATCTTGTAAAAAAAAAAAATGACTGCAGAATTTATTGTAAAGTGTGAAAAATGTAAGAAGAAAGTGAATTTGGATGAAAGGTTCACAGAGATTACAGAGGCTTCAAAAAAGCAACATCATTACATTTCTACTGCCAATTCTTATTAATGTTGCTTTGCAAGCTGAAATAGAGTAGCCCTGTTACTGGGTTTCTTTATAAATTCCCCTGGGTTTGACTGTACTCACATGGTTCACTAAACCTCTACTCCCCCTTATTTCTTTTTAATCCGCAATGTCTGTTCTATCACTTTGCCTCTCAAGTATCACTGAATTTCCCTCATATCCTCCGAGCGGTCTTTCAGAAATGATGGACTACCTGATTCTGCTGGTTTTTCCATCTCGGTCTTTGAAGTCACGGTTGTAGCCATTATGTCAGTCTGGCGTCCAAATTTGCTAGCTCACCCCTTCCTCCTTCAACCCCCAGGTTCGTGCTGTTTGTTGTGATAAGAAGTCTCTGGAGGTCTGCAGCATGAAAAGCACCTTAAAGGGTTTCTTCTTCCCTTGCGTAACAGCTAATAGGAGTTTCACTGTCTCAGAATTCCTTTCTCTTTCATGAGTTTGTTATAACTTGATGCTGAAAATTGGGATCTGTTTTAGAAACACGAGCTGTGCATGGGGAAGACCCTCTCCATTTTTGCATTTCTAAGGGGAAGGACGCTCCCCAGCACGTTTTCTTTGCTTATTTGAGCACAAGTTCTTCAGCAATTACTTTTCTGATTTGTTTCAGATGCCCCAGACTGGAAGGCGCTTGCACGACCAGCCCCTGCCAGCACGGTGGCACCTGTGTTGATCACTGGTCGTGGCAGCAGTGTCACTGCAAAGACGGGCTGACGGGAAAGCACTGTGAAAAATGTATGGAGAAGGTTTCGCGAGTTTTCTCTTTAATGCACACCTACCTATGCTTTAGCCAAATGCCATTAAGGGTTTCTTTTCAGAGGCATGGGATAATGAGTTTTATAAAATAACAAAAACAAGCAGCGTGCTTGCCTCTTAAATAATTCTGAGGGCAAAGTCCACAGTGAGCTGTTGTCCTTTCACGAGCTAAAAATAGCGACAAGTCACATATATTCCGTTTTCTGGTCTGTATATCACATTTCAGGTAACTTGCACTCATTTAAAACTACTGCTTCCCAGTAATGTATAATCAGTAACTAAAATAAAGCTTTCCCAAAGGAGGAATTTGTCTGCTATGGGGAGGTAAGAGGGTAAGGGAAAACCCTTCCCTTCACGTAAACATTGTGTGCGCGTCCTTATGGCTTCTCCAAACTGTAGGCCTCTTTATCAAAAAGACCATCAGATTATATGCAAGAAAATATGATAAATGTAAATAAAAGCAAGCCATTTACACTCTGGGGGTTATTAACTCGCAATATGGGTAGCTCTGTAAATCAATACGGGAGAGCAAAGTGATTTACTTCCAGGCAGTTGTAGTATAATGACTGGGCTTTGTTTTCTTACATGTCCCATTATTGTTTAGCTGATTTATATGCTTTTATTGCACCGGTTTACAAAAGAATTTAGCCATAATTTTAACAGCATTTGGTAGTCAATGCTCTGCCATTTTTTATCCTTTTTTTTTATGCCCTAACAAATAGAAAGTCATTATCTCTGCCCTGAAGAGCTTAGAGTTCAATATATCATGAAACCCTGCTTGCAGTAATGGAAACAGTAACATCCCTGGGAAGGAATTACAGTTCTGAGAGCCAAATTTTTTTCCTTACTCCCTCACTTGTTCCCTACCGAGTTTTAATTTACTATTGACTGATAGCAGCAGTAAATTACTAGCACACTCCCACTCTCCAACACATATTCTGGTTGGAGCCAAGGAGTGGAGGGGCTGAAATTGCCATTCGCCCCTGCTCTCCCCCCTGACCTGCTCTGAACTTGCTCTCTGCTCCGAAGGAACGTGGTCGTTACCGGGGCAGATGATGGCTATAGCTGTAACGAGCCGCCCGCTCAGTGCTTCCTTGTCCTTGTCCCAGATATTACTGCCGACACTGCCTTATCGCTAGAAGGCAAAGGACGACTTGACTACCACATGAGCCCAAACAAGAAGCGAGAATACCTGATGAGACATGGCACTCGAGGCACCGGCCCACGGCCCCCAAACACGGACCGCCTGGAAGTGAAGTTCAGGACAAGAAGCGAGAACGGCGTTTTAGTTCACGTCCAGGAAAGCAGCAACTTCACTACCGTGAAGGTAAGATTACAGCTAATGCTGAATTTGATTTGATTGGACTGCCTCACGCCTGGTGATCAAAATCACATTTTTCCATTACTCTTGCTGTTTCCTTTACAAAATATTAGGTCTTTCACTGAGGTTAGGCACTGCTCCAGTATCATTCGTCTTCTCAACAATTCCCTTGCTATTTGCCAAGGTATCAGAAGATCTTGATGGGTTTGTATCTAATCAGTTTTGTCTAGACTCCAAACAGTGACTCTTTTAAGGCCACAGGAACAGTACTTGTTGCCATATTTGTTATCATCATTAAGTTGCTCTACAGAACAAATCGTTTCATTATTGGCCTTTTATCTTCTGATTTTTCAGGCCTTGAACCCAGACCATCCCTAAGCTAGCAAACAACTGCCAAAAAGTTTTCATTAATTCCTACTAGCATGGCTCACGCTTATCAAACTAGGAAGTGAGGGGTAACTTGAACTCATGAGGTTACCCATAGACCAATGTCAATATCAAATTATTTTGAGACATGTAGCTGAATTAATGCTTCAAATGCCACACAGTTTTAGTTTGGTTTGTTTGTGTTTTTTTTTTCCCAAAGAGTTTATTGCTGCAGAAGTTACCTTTCTCAAGAGAAAGCGATGGTTCAGTTCCTGGCTATGACTCAGTCCATTTACTCATAACTCTAAATGAGTACAGCAGTGATGTTGGCAAGCCCCTTTATTGGGTTGGTGTAAGCTCCAAGTTTCCTTGACTGCTGCAAGGCTTTCCAAGTTTTTTATCCTGACTTTTAAAGAACCTTATACAGAAATTCGCACTTTCTAAGCTTCAGCCCCGTGGATATTCGCCACCTGCCTGGTCAGAGGTACAGAGCTTTTCCTGACACACCGGCTGCATTTAAGAAGCAACTCTGCGTTACTTCCCTGGCATAGGCTTTTACCACATCATTTGATAAGAAGTTTCTGCCTCAGTTGCATTAACAGATAAGATCTCATTATTTTGAGTTCTGGAGAGAAAAAAACAAATAACTATCTTTTTCTCCCGAACAGAATTTGCTAGGTCAGCTCTACAAGCATTATTAAAAAAAGAAAAAAAGAAGAGAGTTGCCTTTTCTGGCTGAAAGCACTGGTGGTGTGTTTATGCAAACACTCTTATTATTGTTAATATTGGTGAAGTTATACAAGCAAGCAGAGGGTGCCGAGTCCCAGACCCAGCTGTGCAAGGGCAAAGCGGGGAAGTCTGCCTGGTAACAGACGCAGCGGTTTAAGGCAGGAGGGGTAACATCACTGTACTGATTACTGCCGAAAAGTTCCCAGATGATGCTAGCTAATAAAACGGCAGTAATTTAACTATAGTTAGTACAGGCTGGCTTCTGCGCCGCCGCTCACACGCGGAGTAGGCATGGCGAGCATGTCCCTCGGTGGTGGCCCCAAGATGTTAAGGAAGCCAACCCACTTTCTGGCATCTCAGTCCACTCCTGGTGCAGAAGATGAACTTTAGGGACTTACATTTACAACTCTCTTGTCCGTCTTCAAAACGGACAATTTTGTAACTTGATTTGTGGGTCTTTTAATGTGCTTGTTATCCAAAGTGTAAGCATTCAGAGAAAACCTGGCATGCGTTTTTTAATATTAAACTGTGCTAGGGGAAAAGCTGCAAGTCCTGGGGCTACTTCCATGCCTCTGCATTTTTCCTCTAGTAGTTAACTGGGTTTGGTGTAGATGGGATGGGGTAAAATTAGAGAAATGGTAGTAAATGAGACCCACTGAGATTGCGAGCAGCTGATTCACTAAATGATGGATGTAAACTCCCCGCAGAGAACCCACGAGAGTTATTTATGATACAGAGAGCTCCTTAATCCAGGAAAGATATAAAAACTAGCAGATTAAATTAAACAGTGATCAAATTCAGATGGAAAATGACCCCCCCACCTCACAAAAAGGAACAGGGTAGGGGATTCCTTATTAGTAAAGCTCTTTATCGCAGCTTATTTTCCTACAAACAATGCACATTGCAACTAATTCAGTTAGAAGTAATGGAATAAATACAGCAGGTTAAAGGTGAAATTGTCTGCCTTGTTTTAGCTGAAAATCTCATCTGAAATGGGATTAAATTAGCGTAACTGTAGCTCTAAGAGCCATGAATTGTGCAGGTAGAGTGTGTGGACTACACGTTACCTATATGAGCTAACATACGCCTATGGTAGGGTGGTGAGGCACTGGAACAGGTTTCCCAGAGAAGTTGTGGATGCCCCATCCCTGGAATTGTTCAAAGTCAGGTTGGATGGGGCTCGGAGTGACCTGATGTAGTGAAAGATGTCCCTGCCACTGGTGGAGGGGATGGACTAGATCTCTCTAAAGGTCCCTTCTCACCCAAACCATTCTGTGATTCGACACACATATTGAGTTGCAGGAATAAATCAGAACATGACTCGTTTCAATGATATCTCATCCAGTGGGCCATAAATTTGTAAAGGCTAGTGCTCAGATTTAAGACAAATAAGAAGCAAATTGTTCAGTAAAGGAGGCTCAGAATATTAATAAAGTTGAATCATCCGTGTAGTTAGGAATACGTTTGCTTTAGCAGTTTTTTTCTCCTCACTATATTCTGCTTGTCAGTTGCTTTGCCATTTAAATAAAACCCAGAAATGGGTGTTACTCAGTATTGTCAGCATCAGCATTTGTTTCAAATTTAGAAATATGTTGTGCTTCAACGAACCGAGACAAACATTCCTTATTTTTTCCTGGTTGAAGAAGTCACGGACCAGTCCTGTCTCTGAAAATTTTATTTTCCATCTGCCACTAGTATATTATTTATGAGTCTGTTAGCATTAGTCACATGCAATTTTAAAGAAACAGAAATAGAGCTAGAGAGTCATAAATCAGTATGGAAAATATCAGTTGCTGACAGGTAAATAATTGTACAGTTCTTCTTTAATGTGGAATTAGAAGTTATGATTCTGTGCTTAGTCTTTCCTATAAGCTTAGAGGATATTGTCTGATACGGTATAATGCTTTTTGCTTACGTAAAGACCAACATCCAAGCTGGTATTTTCATGGAGCACAAAAGACAAAATAAGACGAGCAAACCAATTACACGTTACAGACATAAATATATGTATATATTCCGCCCAGTTAATCTTCTTATAAATACCGTTGGTTGTGGCAAATGTTGTTTAATGTGTTCTAGTAGTCTGTGTGACTGCATTTCCAAACGCGGGATTTTCTTTGTGCTGTGTGATAGTTTAGATATCTGCCACCTGTGTTTGCATCCTATCTCCAAGGGGCAGCTTTATCAGAGAGTCCCTCAAAGAATACATTTTCAAATAGTCCAAATCATTGCATTTATAAATGGCGTGCATGCACATATTAACCATTCTAGTTCTTGATCCAAATGGAATACGTGGTAGATACATTTAGTTCAGGCTGCTGCCAAGACATGAGCGTGGTCTTACAGCCATATTAAAGCTGATCTGTATGAACAGAGTTCCTCAGCCTGCATCACGAGAGAAGCAAATCCAGAGCATTTAACAGTTTCTGGAAATGAGAGCAGCATTCTTGTAGCCAGTGTGTCACTTTGCAGTTCTTCCCAGGTGAACGTTATTTTTCCTGGAACAAAGCATGCGAGGCTTAGAGAGCTTTCAGCAAACCTGGGGCTTCGACCTTTCGTGGACTGTGCGTGTGCCCCGGTCTGCACGCTCGTGTTGCAGGTCACGGACTGACCGAGCTGCAGCGGGGAACACGGGAGGGAAAACAGTCGCCTTATTTCACATGTCTGACCGACCACGCAGAGCATGGAAGGAAACTTGCACAATAAGTTGCAGAGCCACCCTATATGAGCTGTACGCAAACCTGTACGCCCTTAAGTGGCCAGCTGATGTACCCAACTCATACAAACTATTTGAGAAGCTGGCAGGTTTGGATGTTGGGTTTTTTTTTTTCTTAAAAACTCCTATATCTTAAATGCAGAATTTGTTCTGATCCCATTTGGGGATCATTTAATATTGAGCCCATAAGAGGTTTGAAATCCTCCATCTCATGATTCAGTAGAATTGCGAGGCGTCATTCCTAGAGGATAAGCCAAAAAATTTTTCATGGAATTTAGCAGTACCTTTTTTTTTCTTTTTCTAACCGCTCACAAGTTTAAAAGCAGTTTGCTCAAGTGAGCACCATTTGAAAAGTCACACAAGATAACACGCTTTGCAACTCTTTGGAAAGGTTTCTAAAACACAACAATTTTGCTGCAAAATGCAAATTAGCAGCAAAACCAGATAGGAAAAGGGAAACTTGTTCAGGTCCTGCTATGCCGAATATATTCCTATTGGGTCATAATGAAAACGAGATGCAAGTTTTTGGGGCAAGGACCACATCTGTTTACCTTGCAAAGCATTTTCCACACTTGCATTGAAGAAGGAGGAAGAATTATTCTTTTATTGGTCAAAATAGTTTTGTCGTGTGCATGCCCTTTTGCCGACCTCTCGATAGGTTTTTCTCTGATGAGATTAGCCGGGGAATGAGTGGAGGGCAGCTCTAAGTTTTCTACAGATGCAATGATGTATTTAATTGCAGCCAAACTTTTCGTACTAAATAATTAATGCATGTTGAGGACAAAACAATTATTTGGGGAAAAATACACCCAGGCTTCCTATTACAACCGAAGCCATGTGTTACTGTAGCTGTACTGAATAGGCATCACGTTGGTTATGCGTGTATAGGAGTGGTTATGCGTGTATCATTCATAAACTCTGTTTTCTGATCAGATAAAAGGTGGGAAAGTGCATTACGTATCCGATGCTGGAATTGCTGGGAAAGTGGAAAGAAACATCCCAGAAGTGTACGCTGCGGATGGTCAGTGGCATTCGGTACTCCTTGAGAAGAACGGGTCTGCTACTGTCCTGTCGGTTGACAACGCTCATAGCCGAGACATTCACCACGTCACGCAAGACTTCAGTGGACTAAACGTTCTTACAATTTCTTTGGGAGGAATCCCATCGAGCCAACCTTTCAAGAGCACAGTTGCAGGTAATTTTTATTTTTATTTTTTTATTTTTTTTTAGTACATTACACATAAGCAGATTTGAGCAGACAAAGGGTCTCTCTATTTCCTTGAAGGTTGCAGAATATTCTGTAATTCTTTATTAGTAACTCATAGACTTCCGTAGTTTGCCAGGAAAACTGCAAATTGAATGAGTAAGGATCGCAGACTTTGTTCCCTCACCACACGTTTCAGCCTTGCTGTTTCCAAAGCAGGCACTCCATCTGCAGGGCTTTTTGGAGGCAGGGGGTAGGTTTTGCTTGCTCGTCTGTAAATCAGTTGCTATAATTTTGTTATGCTAATGGAGAAGAAAGGGCCTATTCTTCACCTGAGTCAGAATCTGGAAAATCAAGGCAAATCTTTTGCTTGGGCAAAAAGGCTAAATGAGAACTTTGTCTCTGTAGGGGTTTGGTAAGTACTGCAGGATTTAGCCTGGTTTTAATATGATTAAAATATTTTCTGAAACTCCCAACTTCCTCCTGCTTTATCCTGCTGTCAAATGAAGAATAGGATTTATTTCTGAGCAACAGAAACCAAGGACAATAAGGAACCAACCTCCAGGAACCAAAATCTAGTTGTTAAGAAGTAAATCAATCTCCCTTAAAAGCTAAAGCAACTGTCTTAGACCCTGGCAAAAGTAGTAGATAACATATATTGGATATCATTCCCCCAGTGATAAGTAAAGATGGAAGTGATTTTTAGCAACAAACCGTGAGATACTCCAGGCAATGCAGGCATAGGTTTCACAGAGGTTTTATATTGAAAAATCTTCCTGACTTCAAGAACTGTGACCAGATAAAGGATCCCTCAGTGGAGCAAATCCACATTCACATTTGTGTATTCTGAATTTGTAAGAAATGCAGTATGAAATCATATGAATGCTATGCTTACCTTTACCATATTTACGTGGATGTTTTATGAGCAGTGTATGCATGGAAAAGTCAGAGGGTTTTAGGAGAGCTGGAAGAAAGAGAACTGAAGATGCTAAAATCTCACCAGTGCCTGATGCTGTGGCAGACAAATTGGGATTGTCTGGCTTCCATTAGGAATACACAATCCAAAATCTCTTATTCACAGGATTTTATTTTATTTTTCTATTGGATGACTTTGTGAACGGCATACCAAGGATTTACAAGGGGGAGGTATAAAACTCTGCATGAACTCGGACAGTCACAGATATCCTCAGTCCTGTTAAAGGCAGACAAAAACATACGGGGGTGACAATTCCAGGGCTGTGGAGCTGGTATATCCAATAACGTTTTCAAACCCAGGCAGACCTGAAAAAATCTCGATTGCTGTTTATCACATCCCTGCTGCAAGGGACCACCAAGCTTGCGGCAGGGTAATTGTCCGCTTCGCTTGGGCTCCCACCTGAACCTAAATCCTCAATTTCCTCTTTGTTTGGGAATGTAAAAACGGGAGAAAATGAAAATATAAGTAATGCTGGAAGGAAAACACATCTCTTACAGAATGGAAATAATACAGAAATAGCATGCTTGCAAAACTTAGAAGGCTCTTTCATGTCCCTTTACACCACATGACTTGCATCTCTTAGTGAAACGTATTTATGTTGATGCCCACTCGTATTTCATTTCTAACATCAGAGGGTGCTCGAATTTTAAACCGACATACTTTGTAGATTATAAATCTGTAATATCACCTCATACAACTTGAGTATATTTGCTATTTCACGACAGAGTAAATATTCATTCCATTTATCTCCCTGCTGCCCATTTTTGCAGAGGTTTCCACAATTATTCACAAAGTCACTATTCATAGTGGCTGTTCTTTCATTCCAGCAATAAGTTTGCAGAAACAAACCTTTCTCTGACACCACTAATGCATGGAAAATTTGCTCCTGTTTATTCTTTCACCCAAGTGCGATGCTTCAGAACTGAGTAGTGGCACTTTCCTTCTCCTTGTTGATTATTTTTATTGATAATAGCTGATAACTTTGGTCTTGAATAATATCCTTCTGTAAACCTGGCATCCCAAGGGCAATCCATCAGAAGTCAGGGCTCTGGAAGGGGCTGCCCAGGGAGGTGGTGGAGTCCCCATCCCCGGAGGTATTTAAAAGAAAGGTAGATGAGGTGCTTAGGGACATGGTTTAGTGGTGGGATGGCAGGGTTAGGTTAACGGTTGGACTTGGTGATCTTAAAGGGCTTTTCCAACCTAGACGATTCTATGATTCTATGAAATAACTATGTATCTAACAGCAACCGCGTGTGTGGACACTGAGGGCATAACTTACAAACACCATTTCGTCACAGCTCCGTGTAGAGGGTTGCTCTATCCTCAAACCCTTGCAGAAAGGATTAAATCTTGGGAACACAGAGAATGACCAGGCTGGCAAAAGGCTGGATTTCCCTGCACCCTCACATAGGACCACAGCAGAAAGGCCGGGAATAATCCCATCTCCCTGGGCCCTTACAGCGCTGAAACCCGGCGGCACCACTGGCAGGGTAGCACCACACCCGAGCTGTGGGAAGCTGGGGAAGAGGCCACTCGAGGTTGAGAGACGCAAAAGCACCACCATGGTTTTAGGAGGTGGTAAGACAGGAGGCTGAGCTGAAGCACGATAGGCAACTTGAGCTCAGGATAGGGGAAACTGGAAAGCACGCAAGCCAAGGGGAACGGGAGCGAATGTTTTCTGCTAGCACAGCCAAGCCAGCTGCACACAGGTTTCTCTGCATGGATGATAAGTTTTAGAAATATGGGAAAATTAGGAAAAAAAGAAAAACCACAAACATTTAAAGATATTGAATGAAGTCATTAGAAGGACTATTTGTTCAAATTCATTTTAAAGACATTAAATACTATTAGAATAGCTATTTCCCTATGGTAATCATTTGAATTCTTGGCTTATTTACTGGACAATGGAGCCTTTCATTTAGCTTCAGTGAAATGGCTCTATAAATTGAAAATCGAGTCAGTTTAACAATGTATTTTTAGAAAACAGAATGTTTCTGCAAAATCCAACCCTTTGCTCATTGCTTAGCATTTTGGCAAAATAATTTAGCTTCAAGGGGAAACTACATTATAATAAAGATCTGAGAATATAACCTTCGGACTTCCTTCAGTGAGTCTATCTGTAAGATGAGCAAGCTCCAATCACAAAAGTATCCATTTGCCTTGCAAACCTCAGATCTAATCTGCTCAGTGAGTGGCAGAGTTGAGTCTGTGCGCGAGCAGCCTGGTTTTACCCAAAATACATTTTTAAATTTCATTTCATATTATGTTTTTTCCTCAATTTGAACTTTATTCTCAGTCTCCAAGCTTGAGGTAGATACTTCCTAATGGGACAGTAGTTCCTTCTCCTGCGCAGCCTATCGAATTCTTAAAAGCCAGATTAACATTTCAAATTATATTTAGGCATCTGCTTACATTTGCCTGTTTTTTCAGATTTAGTGAAAGCAATGGGAGTGCAAAATGTCTTACAGGCCGCCTAGAAAACGTGATGTGCTAATTTCAGCATCTTAATTGCAGATTTGGTACATTTTACTCACCTAAGAATATTTTCACTGCTTTGAAATCTTAGTGTTGAAGTTAAAAACCATGGTCTGTTTCTGGATTCTTATTTGGTGGACTTGAAAGAACCAAGATATCTTGGTATCATCTATAAGTGCCATGCATGTATCTTCAGAGAATTTACTTAATTACATTTTTATCTTTAATCTCCATTTCTATGCGCAGCTTAGATGTGAAAATCATCAGTTTTAAAAAGTGCATGTATAGAAGTTATGTCAGAAGCTCCAGGCATGACCAGCTTTTGCTTAATCTTGTTCTGCTTTAAAGTAGATTTCGGTTCCTATCTAATATGACCCCCCCAAGATTATCAAACATTTATAAACAAAATAGTCATTACAATGTAGGAGGAAATATTTAACAGAAGCAACAAAATGTTCCTTAGTCTCAGCTTACGTGGTTCAGCACAGATGGTCAGATACTGAAAGATCTGTGAATGGGCCATCCCTCTAGCGAACTAAGTGGTTACTAAAATATTACGCCATTACGGTTGATACCACAGATATTTGTACGTTAATCACGACGCAAGGTAAAAACATGGGGAAGCAATGGTAAGCTCAGTACATGTAAGATTCAGTCGTGAAAATACGGAGGCTTCATGTGTGTAACAGCGTGATTTACCCCGCATGCTACTTAAAGCCACATCATGAAATAAGGCCATCGCCTCCATGGTGGCGCTGGGGTTTCCATTTTGTCACATCTGTGTTTGTGTTTCCCCTTTCATTTTGGGGGGCAAGGGGCACACCGCAGATGCTGCTGATCAGAAGGTTTCCCCTTTAGCGTTGTATTGATGCTTGGAGCATCTTTGGCCTCCATTGACAGGGTGTAATCAGTCTTCAGGCCCCGACATGACTGTTGCTTTTCCCCCTAGGCTTCGACGGCTGCATTTCCTACATCAAGTACGGCGGGGAGAGCCTTCCCTTCGCTGGCAAGCACAGCCTCGCCACTCTCTCCAAAACAGACCCCTCGGTGAAGATCGGCTGGCGGGGCCCCCACATCTTCTGC